GTGGGGTCACACGTTCGGTTCGAGGCCTGTTTAGCATCACCTGTCTTGGTTATGTCCGAGGAAAATCGAAAAATGGGGAAGACAGAGACCTTTCTTTCTCTGTGGATCAAAGTCTAGGGGCCAAAAGGGGCGAAGAGGGCGAAATAAGAACGACATTCCCGGTCGCGGCCAACTGCACGTGCAAATGTGTGTGCGTGTGTGTGAGAGAGAGAGGGGACGTGGGACGTTAACAGAAAGCAACGCGTCACAGCAAGGCGCCGCGAGGCGCCATATGGATGGCCCAGCAGCGCGCCCGAGCAGGGATGGCGCCAGACTGACCTCCACCCCTTTTCACACCAAGTCCCCCTCCCCTCCCCCTCCCCCCTTGGAGGTCCTTTTCCGCGGCACGCGCTACACACACACACACACACAGTCGCGCAAACGAAAACAAACGCAAGGCGCGACAATTTTAGCCGCAATGTCGGCGGCGGTACCGATGCGTTGCGCCCTCGCGGCATGGCGTGGCCAACCCCCCGATATTTCTACCCCCTCCCCCTCCTAACCCCTTTTCGGTCGGATACACACAAACAAAACGTTCATCACACACACACACGCACGCACACCAGCACACACACGCGCGAGGCAAGCACGCGCGGCGCGAAAATTGCCGTGAAATCTCTAGCACGCACTAGCCGCTCTGGGTCGGGGTCAGTCTCCACGAGAAGTAACGGCAGCGATTAAAACGAAATTGAGCACATGATCGCGTCCTCGCGCGCGTTCGTTGAGTCGTAGCGTCCGCAGCGGGGCCGCGAAACGAGAGTCTTGAAAGGAGAGTCTCGAATCTCGAAACAAGAATCTCGAAACGAGTCTCGAAACGAGAGTCTCGAAACGAGAGTCTCGAAACGAGAGTCTCGAAACGAGAGTCTCGAAACGAGAGTCTCGAAACGAGAGTCTCGAAACGAGAGTCTCGAAACGAGAGTCTCGAAACGAGAGTCTCGAAACGAGAGTCTCGAAACGAGAGTCTCGAAACGAGAGTCTCGAAACGAGAGTCTCGAAACGAGAGTCTCGAAACGAGAGTCTCGAAACAAGAGTTTCCAAAGGCGAGTCTCGAAACGAGAGACTTGGCTCCGCACGTGTCCTGTCGGTGACACGGCACAGTGCGACACTGCCGACAGCTGCGGCACAGGACCACCGACCGCCACTGAGTCACGCGGGGGGTGTCCTGCCGGCCGCGTCCTCCCCGTGGGCACTGCGCCGCTCTGTCTCTTTCGCACTCCTACAGGACAGGACGCCCTGTGAGTGCGAGGGAGAAAGAGCGCTGGCCGGCACGCGGGCACGGCGCTCTGGCCGAACCCGCCAAAACTTTTACATTGAAATCCCGTCGAGATTTTGGGGGCTGATCAGTTAATGGATCGTAATGTAGTGGTCTCTGGACAGCCCGGGGAACCGAATTACGTCAAATTTAGGGAAAACACAACAACATAAACCCTCTAAAAACAAAAAAAAACAACTGAAAAATGCACCAAAGAGGTGAGATTCACTAAATAATTTTGATCCAATGGGGCTCCCAACCGATTAGCTCAGGGACATATCTCTCTCTCTCTCTCTCTCTCTCTCTCACACACACACACACACACACACACACACCAGCCGTTACGTAACAGTTGAACGGCCCCTCGGGGCGAGTGTGTAGAACGCGAGGAAATAAGAGAAAGAGAGAGAAGAGTTCGTGAATCATCCACAGACTGGCCGGGGAATGCGGCGGCACGGCACGGTACGCGGTCGGCACAGTGCCAAAATCAGCCAAAGCCAGCGGGAGCAGCGCATGTCGATATTATACCTTGGCAGCGTCGGACGGGGGACGGGGTACTGAGGGCATGGAAGGACAGACGAACGGACTGACAGACGAACAGAACAGAACGGACAGGCAGACAGGCAGGCAGACCACACGCTAACAGACACGCTGACAGGCCAGGTCGGGGCCGGGCAGAAACAATGATACAGTACGTTCATTATCAAATAGCAAACCGACAGACTGATTCCGAGAGTCGTGCTCCGTCGCTCTGTCTCTCTCGCACCTATAAAGGGACGCCCCATGGGTGCGAGAGAGACAGAGCGACGTGGGAGACTCTCGGAATCAGTCTGGAGGGCTCTGCGCTGAAGCTGCTGCAATCCCGCAAACCACCGAGCAGCTCATGCTCCCCCTCACGTCCCCCCCTCCCCTCACGCTCCCACTTATGCCCCCGCCACCCTCCCCCTTCCCATGCTCCGACTCATCCACCGCGATCCTGCGAGCACCACTCTGACGCCTCGGCCGCAGCGCGCAGCGCAGCTCACCTGTAACAGAGAGAGAGAGAGAAGAGCATTAGCACGAGGCGAACAACACACACAGTGGAGCAGCAGGGCGCGCGATGACGGGCCCGTTTTCTGTCTGAGTGTGTGAGAGTGAGAGAGACTGTTGTGTGAGTGAGTCTGTGAGTGTGTGAGAGTGAGAGAGACTGTTGTGTGAGTGAGTCTGTGAGTGCGTGAGAGTGAGAGAGACTGTTGTGTGAGTGAGTCTGTGAGTGTGTGAGAGTGAGAGAGACTGTTGTGTGAGTGAGTCTGTGAGTGTGTGAGAGTGAGAGAGACTGTTGTGTGAGTGAGTCTGTGAGTGTGAGAGAGTGAGAGAGACTGTTGTGTGAGTGAGTCTGTGAGTGCGTGAGAGTGAGAGAGACTGTTGTGTGAGTGAGTCTGTGAGTGTGTGAGAGTGAGAGAGACTGTTGTGTGAGTGAGTCTGTGAGTGTGCTTGTGTGAGAGAATGTGTCTGGGGCGGGGGTTCTCTACATGCCCGGTGCAGCAAAGTGTCAACTTGTCGACGGCGCGGAAGGGGGAAGGGGGAGGGGGCACTTGATGTGCAGAGCGAGTGTTAAATTTGTCCCTGCAAATTATTACGTGCGCGACGGGGCGGCGAATAGTGGTGGGGCGCCGCTTGTTAGAGGCCATTCCGTTGTTGACGCGAGCGTGCGTTCTAGGCGCGGCGCGCCAGTCGCCACCAAGGGGCAGGCCGCCACGAGCGGCGTGGCTACGAAGAACAGTTTCGTCGACCTACCCTACGGCGAGCCCCTGCGGGGCACAGTGGGCTGGAAGACGACCGGTGGAGGCGGACAAAAGTCTAAACGCATTTTGAGCTCCAGAGTCGCTAAATGGGACTCGAACCGAACGTGTGACCCCACCAATGGATTCCTCGTTCGGAGCCAGCAATCCATTGGTGGGGCCACGCGTTCGGTTCGAGTCCCATTTATCGAATCTAGAGCTCCAAACGCGTCTAGAGTTTTGGCCGCCTCCAACGGTCTTCTGGCCTACTGTGCGGGGCCCCTGCGTCCAATGGGGCTCACGAATAAGTGCGTTTGCGAACAAATTGGTCCCTAGTGAAACAAGTAAATATATTCTATATTTATTTTTTATTTATTTCACATTTAAAATTAAATAAATCCTTTATTTACCTAATTAAATTTAAACTTATTTAAAGTGAATATAGAGTGCATTTAGCACAGGACTTAGCCATGTGAGGCAACCTTTTATTCCACTTTATATTCCTTCCAAAGATAAAATAAATTTCCAGTAAATTACTGGTAAATATACTAAAATTTCTCCTTATTTAATTTCTTTGGGTAAATTTAGGTTTAAATTTAGTGTTATATTGAAATTAAATGAAGTATTACATTTAATCTAAACATGCGGCCCAAATTTAACCAACTTGGGACAAGGTCTTAACTTGAGTGGTCATTATCAGACATCACGGTCACGTGACATGTGTGTCGGACTTCAAAAATTCATGCACCGAAGGTGCATTGGCCTCGACATGGACTGTCAGCTCCTTTGGACTTAACACAATGCAACCTGAATAGGGTGCGGCAGCCTAGTTCAGTTGGGAATGCTAGCCAACACCGCGAGCTAAGGGATAGAGATCGACTGTGGCGCCATCTAGCGGAGTCGCAGGAATAAATTTAACCTAAATTTAGGTTATCTTAAGAAGTGCTATGTATGTTACTTTTATGTGTGATAAATTAAATTAAATTTAGAAACAAATTTAGTCGAAATTTATCTAGATATTGGATATACATTATATTTGCGCCAAATTCAGCTGCATATTTGATGCAATTTAGTCCTACTTAGTGCTTGGAATTACATTTGGAACAAATTTAAGTACATATGTATGTTTAAATTTCAGCGGAGTTATTAAATTTAAGTTATGTTTATAATAAATTTAACTCAACATACTAAAGCTCAATTATATTTAAAGTAAATAAAAATTATATTGTAATAAATATACATTTATTTAAAATATATTTACTCGTTTCACTAGGGGTGCGGAAAACTTCGCATGCGCAAAATTGTGTGAGTCTGACTTCTAGGGTTTCTTCATTCCCCACATTTGAGTTTTCAGCGCTTTTGTTTTGTTTCTGTTTCATCCGCGTTTTCGGCGTCAACGAAATGGGCGTTTGCCGTGCTTCCTTGAGACGTGTGTTCGCAAGAAGTCGTCTGCGGGCTGTGCGGCTCGTCGCCACACAACAAACAGCCACGACACTGTCAGACAGCCCCCACGAGTGTGCTGTGCCGCCGTGCGGTCGACCCTTCCTTGGCGGAGACAACACCAACCCGAGTAGCACGGCGCACTGGTTCCGAGAGTCGTTTTCGTCGCTCTGTCTCTCTCGCGCCCACACGGGACGCCGCATCAATGTGAGAGAGACAGAGCGACGAAAACGACTCTCGGAACCAGTCTGCAGTGAGGAGAAACGCGTCGCCCGAGGCGAACGTCGTCTCCCACACACTCCCCCTCTCCGACGACGGAGTCAAAGTCCCAGACGCAGGCGGAGATCCGCCATCCAACTTTGCTTCGATCTCCGATGTGAGATTCGAGATTGCGAGAGTGCGAGTCGCGAAATAGAACAAACAGATAGCTACAGCACTGCACAGTCAAAACGACCCGAACTGCAGCTGGGCGAGGCTAGGCGAGGCTGGTGGCGGCGACGCGGTGCTACCTGTGCTGGCCTTGAAGGCTGCCGGCGGGGTGATGGGCGGCACCCCGCTGTCCCAGGTGGGCACCACGTCGGGGGTGATGGAGCCGGACGCCGAGGTGGAGGCGGAGTCCGTGTCGGCGGCCAGCCCCTCCGAGCAGGGCAGCTGCAGCGACCGCTGCTGCTTCAGGCTGCGCCGCTTCCGCCGGATGGACGACGGCGCCATCGACTTGACGGCCGCGAAGAACCCCACGCCGCTCATGGTGGCGGTGGCGGCGGCGCGAGGCGTCGACGGCGAGGTGTCGCGGGCGGCGGCGTCAGTGACGGGACGCCGTCAGCGCCATGTCGCGGCACGGGCCTTGGGGAGCGAGAAGCGGTGCTTGAGGAGGGGACGCGTGGCGCGGGGGTTCACGTGTCGGTGGCGGTAGAGAAGGGTCGGTGGAGCACAGTGGCCAGCCGGTGGAGGCGGCCAAAACTCTAGACGCGTTGGGAGCTCCAGAGTCGCGAAGTAGGCCTCCAACCGAGCGTGTGACACCACCAATAGATTGCTCTCTGGACGAGGAATCCATTGGTGGGGTCACACGTTTGGTTCCAGTCCCATTTAGCGACGCTGGAGCTCAAAACGTGTCTAGAGTTTTGGCCGCCTCCACCGGTCTCCTGGCCCACAGTGTGGAGGCCGGGGGCGGACTGGGCGGGGCGGGGCAGGGCGCTCCGGGGGCGGCTGGCTTTTCACGCGTCGAAAGCGAACGCGGGGGCGGCTGCTGGGGGCGGCGCCGCTCGGTTCGCCCGTCACGCAGCAACAGCCGGGCGCGGCGTGCTCGAAGCGCGGGGTGCGCGGGGGCGGGGGAGAAGGTGACACCCCGCGACAGGTGAATTCCGCCGTCACCGACCACCATGTGGCGGATGCAGACCGCGTGTGACGAGCCCTGGCGCGAGAGCCGCCGTCGGGGCGCGCGGTGCGGGGCGATGTGACAGGTCAGGAAGGCGGTGACGTCCAAACGAGGGGGTACTCACTCGGTTTTTTCGGGTACACAGAATATGAATATGCGTGAATACTTGTGAATACTTCTGAATACTAAGAGTCGTGAATATCTCCGAATACAAAAAAACTACGAATATCAAAGAATATGAATGAATATTTGGGAATATGTGCAAATACCCCAGAATATGAGTGAATACTTGAGAATATATGTGAATATGTAAGTTAAAGAATAGAGTTTTTCGGCTAGCCGCGAACCAGAACTCTTCTAGGATCTCATTTTGTCAGTAAGAAACGCCCAAATATGGACCCGAGAGTGATACCAGAAGCTCTCGCCCCCAAATTTCGGAAAAAAAAACGACGAAATAATGCCACAAGTACTAAAATACCTCTGAATACTAGGGAATACCCTGAATACTAAGAGAATACCCGCGAATACTTGCAAAAACTTCAAAATATTCTGAATATTGTGAATATGGAGAATACTTGTGAATACATGAATATTTATGAATATTCAAGAATATGAATATGAATATCCTAGTGGGTACACAGAATACCTCGAGTGAATACCCCCTCGCGTCCAAACAATGGTGGCTGACGGTCAAGGCCGCCAAGGCCTCCACGTTGCACGTTCACGGCCAGCCCTCGCACAAAGCAGCCCGCCCGGCACGCTGCGGGCCAGAGGACCGGTGGAGGCGGCCAAAATCCCGGACGCGTTTTGAGCTCCACAGTCGCTAAATGGGACTCGAACCGAACGTGTGACCCCACCAATGGATTGCTCTCCGAACGAGGAATCCATTGGTGGGGTCACAAGGTCGGTTCGAGTCCCTTTCAGCGACGGAGCTCAAAACGCGTCCGGGATTTTGACCGCCTCCACCGGTCTTCTGGCCCACTGTGCGGCGTGTACACTGTGGCGCAGCCACCGCGGCGACAGCGTGTTGCAAAACTCCGGCACGGTCCGCCGTCGCCGTGCGAAACTGCGAAGGCGAGGCAGGCCAAGAAAAACACTGGCCAGGTAGGCAGTCGCGGCTTCGCGGCCAACGCGGCCTGGGGTCGCAATGTCGCCACACGTGTTGGCCGCGAACATCGGCACCGCATCAAGCGGACGCCACGCCACTGGCCGCCACCTCGCCACAGCTGTGCCTCGGCCGCGCCCCACGTGACGGCCGGCGCAGTTTCCGAACACAAATTAAACGCTCTCACCTGGGGACGCTTGCGCCACGAAGTGGCCGAATTTTTAGGCACATTCCAAAGTTTGTGCCAAAATGACAGCACTGGCAAATGGGAAACGTGCCTGGATTCTCCACCCCTTCGCCGGAAAAGGCAAAGCAGTTCCCGTTTGCTCTAGTTTGCTCGGGTTTGCTCCTACCAGCGTTGGAGGACCCTGGTTCGAGGCCTCGCCTGGCCTCAACAGTTTCTCGCCCCCCTTTGTCGCAGAGCGTATCGCTTTACTCGACTCATCCTCCAGTGACCAGGTTCACCAAGGTCACCAATGTCACCAAGGTCGCCAAGGTCGCCAAGGTCACCAAGGTCGCCAAGGTCGCCAAGGTCGCCAAGGTCACAGCCGTGCCGTGCAACAGCAGGCATTCCCAGGCAAATCCAGATTCAATGAGGCCAGTGGCATCGTTTATTGAGGTGACGTGGCAGTGTGTGTTCCACTGGAGCAGAGACGGATCCAGGGGGTGGGCGAAGAGGGCGAGTCTCCCTCAAATGAAGGCGAGAGAGAGAGAGAGAGAGAGAGAGAGAGAGAGAGAGAGAGAGAGAGAGAGAGAGAGAGAGAGAGAGAGAGGAGAGAGAGAGAGAGGAGAGGAGGGGGGGAGAAGCGGGCAGTACAACCGATAACCGAAACTTGTCTTTGAATTTGAATGTGTGCTCAACCAGCAAAGGACCGAACCGAATGAGCAGAATCCTCCGTGAGCCAAAATCTTCGGAATAATGTTTGTACAGAGGGAACGCGGGGCGGGCGCTTCACAAAGGTACGGTAGGCGCAAAGGTAACAAAGGAATTGGGTAAAATCGACAGAGACAAAGAACAGTCGCACGTGAATCATGCTCTCACATGAAAACACACAGACAGAAGGACCACACACATACATCCATGCACACATGCCGCATGCTTGCACGCACACACACACATACACACGAAACACACAAACAGACTTACATAAACATTCTCAAAGCGCA